CATTCAAAGATTCTGACCTTTCCTTTTTGGACGTTCTATAGGAAGGTTCTCATCTCTATTGTCGAAAAAAATTAACGGTATTAAATGATAATTTAATCATCGAATATTAAAAACAATACACCTCTAACATCACATTATCATCAATGACCTCATTATATTATATACTCATTAAACCTATTTTTCAAAATATACTCGAATAACTATATTTAATAATTGTCTAAATAATGTGCCATATTATAATGCAAACCTTTAAGCGAGATGCAGATAGTATAAAAGGAAATGTGTTTATCGCGCAACGTAAATCGTTGATAACTACTATCTCCATCCACCTAAAATTTGGGAGAAAGGAGAGTGATGCGTTTTTTAAAAAAATAGAGTTGTGTGATTGATATGAATTGATGAAGTGGAATAAAGTAAGAACGAATTAGAGTCATCTAAATGTTACTCAATATAGTATGCGACAAATTTAGTTGGACAGACGGAAAAAGAAAAATGAGACAGTTATAATAATGGGACGAAAGGAGTAGTAAATAACTTGACAAAGACACTAACTTTAATGCCTTGGTGAGTATGCATGCATGTGCATGTGAGTATACTTCTTCCGCCCCTGAATTAACTTTCTCTCCCAAAAATAACTTCTTATTTTAGTTTATTGGTAATCTTTTGCTTTGAAAGTATCCATCTGCCCCCTAGTGGCCCCTACTTTTACTCATCATTTACTTCTTTTAATTTATTTGGACCAATGTATCTCTCTATGATGCAAGGGTAATTTTACAAAGTCAAATGTCGAAATTAATTTCAGGACGAAGGAAGTAGTTAAGACGATGCCTAAATGATCATGCAATTTAATATGTTTTCTTAAACTGAATTAGAGAATCCAAATACATTATGCTCCGATGACATCACCGTAACCCTCTCAAGAAGGTCAACGATTCTAATCTTATCTCAATTCAAGGACATTAGTCTTAATATAGAAACTATACTATATTAGGTTAAAAAGAACATAACAAATGAATGGGAGAAAACACATTCAATTCTACTACTCCGTATTATTTATAGATATTTTTTTTTGTGCAAGACTGTTATACACATATTTGAAACATAAGACAATTATATAGCACTTAGTTTGGAAATATCATCATGCTAGTGTGTCTTGTATCATCAGTTTAGGATACTATACTAGATCAGTTCAGATCAAATAAAATTTAAACCGACTAGATTTGAAAAACACAAATGAAAAACAACATAAATTGAAGTTAACACATCCGGCCATATTGCACCACATATTATGAATGTAAAGAAAATAATTCTTTGAAAGTAAATACTCTAAAATTTATTTAAAGTGGTTGTACATTCTAATATCCTCTTCCTCACAAAAACTTATCATCTTTCATTTTTGGGTTTGGCTCGGTTCATGATGGTGCGGTAATCTATTAACCTGTTTGGTGACTCTATTTTTCTTCTTATCTACCAACTTTTTACCTAGTATGTATTTTTTATTTTATTCTCTGAATTGTGTAATAAGCAAAATAAGTAAGGATGAAGATACTTTTCTAGTTGAATTGATTGAAATTGATGTAGAGTACCATTTTAGCTATTTTCATATTTTTTTCTTTATTTTATTAACAAAATATGTTTTAAATATAACTTTCATAATTCAGAAGAATCATCTAATCCAATTCAACCACTTCAGTCAAAACATAATAAATTTCAGTACAATCAGTTGATTCAGCCAATACCAGTGTTGTCAAATGAGCTCTACATATTTGGTGTGGTACCTCTTCACTAAAAGTTACCAAAGAAGAAGTATCCAATGTAATTTACTTAGGTGGCCTGAAATGAAATCAAAATTTAATAAAAGAAGATAATAACGAAAACCAATATTACAATCAAAACGGCATGTCCATAAATCAACTATTAATTACAAATCATCCAAATATGGCTAGAGATCACATCTAAATATGGTAAGCTCTAATGTTCAGTGAAGAATATGTTTTGTTTACTCCAGGGGGTGTCTGGGGGTCGGGGGGAGGGGGGCTGTAGTAATCACGGCTGAAACTCACTCCATTGAGTTTCAAACTCTTGTGTGCCTAGCGGGACTCGAACTCGAGACCTCCCACTAGGCACGGTAACCTCACAACCAGCTGGGCTGGAATGCTTGGTTATTCAGTGAAGAATATGTTTAATCACATAACCGTCTCAATGTTCAATAGTAACGAACATGATTCTCAATAAGTTTTGGATTTTTTACAGTCAATTGCAGAGTTTCAAAACTCAATAGATCGAGAAGGTTTGATGCTCAATGAAAATGTCTAGACGTTCAATGAGCAAAGTTTACGATTTTCATATGAATGCATGCATATTTCAAAAGTATAATATTAACTTAGATTCAGATTTTGGAATTCACAGGAGTTGATTATAGATATAATTTAAGAAATTTTTATAAAAGAAAAAATACAAAAAAGAAAGTGAATTAGAAGATATGAAACATAGATCACGATACTCAATATTAGACTTTTAATACTCAACATAATATGTCTGATGCTCAATACGAGTAGATTGATACTCATGAAAGTTAGGTTTTTCAACTAAATTTACAAAAATGTCACCATTTGTACGATTTATAGATACCAGACTAAATAGCTAGTGTTCATGTCTTTTAACAAAAAAATGACTAAATTGTGTTTAAGATTTTATTTTCTTTTTATGCGCCCTTTTCAATAAATAGATACCCCTCCATCACATTCAAAGAGTTCAAAGGCAATTAACACTATTAAATGATAATTTAACCATCAAATATTAAAAATAATACATTTATAATATCACATTTGTTATCAATGATTTCATTATAATATATATTTGTTAAAACTATTTCTCAAAATATGTTCAAATAACCTTATTTAATTATTGTCTAAATTGTGTCATATTATAATAGAAACCTTTAAGCGGATAGAGATAGTATAAAAAAGAAATGTGATTATCACCCAATTAATGTACATTGTTGATAATTACTACCTCCGTCCCCCTAGGATTTGGGACAAGGGAGAGTGGTGCGATTTTTAAAAAGAGTATACATATGTAATTGATAATTAATGAATTGATAAAGTGAAAATCAACCAACTGCTTTAGCCAGAACCTAATAAATTTCAGTAGAATCAGTCGATTCAACCAATGCCACTGTTGTCAAATGAGCTCTACATGTTTGGTGTGGTAACTCTTCACTAAAAGTTACCAAAAAAGGAAGTATCCAATGTAATTTACTTAAGTGGCCTGAGATGAAGTCAAGTTTTTTGAGCCCGTTTGATAACCACAATATTCATTTTATTAGTAATATAAGTCATTTTCTTAAACATGTAACTTTTTATTTCACGCATTAAATTGTACAATAATTAAAATAAGTAAGTTTGTAGTTGCTTTTCTAACTGAATTGCCTGAATTTCTTATAAATCATCATTGAAACTATTTTATACTACCTTCGTCCACTTTTTATTTAGCCATTATTGATTTTTTTCAGTCAAAGAATCAAATTTTGACCAATTAGTTTAACTAATATCATCATCATTATCATCAATTCATCATTACCCGAGTGCCGTAAAGGATCTCACCTATGGTGGGCCGTGGGATAAGAGGGTCAGAAGCACGCAATCTTACCCCTGTACTAAAGTATAGATAAACTATTTCTGGATGACTCATAGTGAAATTCACGTAAAAAATTATACGGACTTACTACTGCTTCATAACAAAGAAGTACAATAGTTTAGTGAGTCATTTTGCCCTATTGCATCATATTCTTAAGCAAAAAATAGTGAGCTTTTGGGTCCATTTCCAAGTCATTTTAAATAATACATAGTATATTATATATATGTAAAATATACGAAGTAATAATTTTACACATTTATAATAGTTTTTTTGATAAAGAAGATTTTGATATTATTTTTCATATTACCGATACTTATGTATATACAAAAAACTGAAAAATTCTTTCTCTAATGTTTGTAACGAGGAGCAGCCGCCACAGGCGGGCTTAAACGTACAGGGTTTCTTCGTCCGCCATCGATTGTGCGGCTATTTTGTTTTTTTTCTTTGGCGAGATTAAGCGGAGGGAGGAGGATGCTTGGTCTCCAACAGATGAAGGTTATGTAAGGACGAAGACAGATGCTTGGTCTCTGGCGGCCAAAGGTCGTGGATGAAGCATGGCGCTAGAGGCTGGACATATCTGGATTCGAAGTCATTCGTGATAGGTGGTGACAGAGGAGACTTGGTAGAGAACATGATGAACAAAAGGCAAGGCGAGGAAGCAGCTACAGTACTGCTGGATCGTCCCCCTCCTGAACCACCGCCATGGAGTGCAGAAGGGTATAGGGTTTGGAAGCAGCATTTTAATTTTAATGTTTGCTTGGTATTTATATTTCATGATCAGACTGTTTACTTTTCTGTTGGTTACTTTTATTGTTGTAAAACTCTTACATTAGGATTTGGTGATGGAAGACCTGCTTTAACCTTCGTTGGCTCATTCGCCCATTATAGGATCAACAAGTCATATTGCATTTTGAATGTGGTTGATTCTAAGTCTGGATTGAGAGTTGACGATTGATTGTGATCTTATTGTCGTTTTATCCATATCTGAATATTACGATATCAATTTAAATCATCTGTTCCGAGAATTTAAAAATAATACATGTATATACCATTTACTTGGAGAAGTAAAATTTGGCAAAAGGAAAGAGATGAAGTATAATTTTTTTATTTTTTTTATTAATACGGAGTACTATCGTATATCGGAATCACACGCCCGAAAAAAGGTTCATCCATGTATCTCGATGTAACTTTGATAGCGTGCTACTGTCCATTTCGATGAGCTGGAATAAGCATCCGGATGATTCCCACTTGACTCAGTTATGCGACGAAACGAATGTGAAAAGCTATCAGAATCTGTACGACTTCATTCACTGTCAAAGGATCATTTGCCCTTCTCAAATTTCCATTTTCGCCCCTGTCTTCATTAATACGCTGACCCCGGTTTTCTGTACGTATAAATCTCATCATCCTCCCCTTCACCCATCATCTGCCGATTCAGGAAACAGCACAAATGGGTTCCAATTATGGAAGGGAACTTAAGTTGGATTTGACCAGTGCCGATTCTGTTCTTCCTAAGATGACTGTTTCTGATTGTCTGGCGGCGCCGGAAGCGTCTGATGACATTTCCTCAAAATTATCGCAGCTCAACTGCTTTCTTCACGCTTTAGGAGAAGAGTCTGCAAAGATCCAAGCTTTCAAACGTGAACTCCCTTTATCCATGCTGATTATCAGTCATGGTACTTGTCTTTTCCCTTTTAACTGGCGGGGCAGGGCAGGGCGGGGTGGGTAACCGTTTGGCGTTTCTATTTCAGTTATAAATCAGTAATTGAACAAAACTGGTCACTTTCTGCAGCGATCGAGAAGCTGAAAGAAGAAGCTATGGAGCTGAAGGGGAAAGAAAACGATTCAGCGGTGGAGGAGGGGTTTCAGGCATCGGTAAAACGTGATCCTGGGGATGAAGAAGCAGGGGCAGAAAGGTCAATTGACGATCACAAGAAGAACTGGATGAGCTCTGTAACGCTCTGGGACAGGCCTGTTTCTGAGTGCCACTTTCCGAACGGGAAATCAGTAAGATTTATATCAACAGAATTAACAAGATAAATTTCCGTTCTGAATTCTGTTATTTAATTTTATAAATCTAATTCTGGTTTGTGGTATGGGTTCTTGAGGACGATGGCGATCGGTTCCGACCAGTGGAATTGAAGAAGGAAGGCGGGGCGTTTCGTCCTTACAAGAAAACAGAGGCGAAGGACATGGAAAAGGTTCTTGATTTACCAGTATATGAAAAAGCAGGAGAAGGGTCCTCCTCCATTGATGTTTGGGGTCATGAAACTGGAATCGGAATGAATTTCTCACCTCAGAGAAGGAAAAAACGGCGGTGTTGGTCGCCGGAGCTTCATCGGCGATTCGTCGACGCTCTTCACCGGCTCGGCGGTGCACATGGTTTGATTTTTTATTACACCGCTCTATTTTACGTTTACGGCGTAATCGGTCCGTTTCGGTGTTTTTGTCCTGATCGCGTTACGGTTGGGTTGCATAGATTTCTGGATTTTACTTTGCCTTTTGTGTTGACCAAAAGAGAAATTCTACTTTAGTCCTTGTACTTTCTACTCATTTTTCTACCCATCCACTAATTAGGACTCCGTATTTTACAATTAAAAAATTAAAACTAAATAAAGGACGACCATAACATTTATCTTACTACCTCCGTCTCGGTGGACTTTGTCAAGTGCAAAGTAGGTGAGAAATAAGAATAATAAAAATTGTGTGGTTGAGATTTATGCAGAGGAGAGAGAAATATGCAGAATCACAAATTAGTTGCTTTAATGGGTAAGTGACAAAGTTTTTTGGAACAAAAAAAGAAAGTTGACAAAATCCAATGGGACGGAGAGATTATCATACAAGAAATGCCATCTTTAAAAAAACAAGAAGAGGGAACAGAAGAGAAGTTACTCTCGTTTATGATTTCCTTGCTTCTAAATTTTGAACTGAAATTTAATTTAGTTTAGACTTTGAAGATCAGGAAACTTAGAGAATGTAGAGAAAAATTGAGTGTTGCAAAGAAGCAGGACCAATGGGAAGGTGGTGGTTATTTAGTAAACAGTTGGAGAAATGCCAGTTAAATAGACAATAAAAAATGACCACCTGTCATTGTACACTGAGATCGATTACTGAAGTTTAGGACCCATCATATCGTGACCAAGGAATGAAATGGCATTGTTTTTAATCATTTACTCCCTCCAATCCGTTGGAATGTTCCCGGTTTGACCTACACATATTAAGGAAATAAATTTACCAAAGGGTAAAATTTACTGCTTTGACATTGTTTCGACACTGTTTGACACTTTTTCGACACTGTTTGACGCTGTTTTGCACTGTTTGACCCTGTTTTGATGTAGGATAGCTTTCCATTTAGCGAAATGGGAACTTTCCAACGGGACATCCAAAAAAGGAAAGCGAGAACATTCCAACGGGACGGAGGGAGTATTTCTTTGGAAGAAAAGTACTCCTTCCGTCCCGTAAAGAAGTTCATAGTTTGACCTACACACATATTTATGTAAGGTAGAGTTTTGTTTTGACTTTCCAAGTATACCCTTACTTTATGTCAAATCAAATAAAAAATGGTTAAAAAGTAAGGGTAGTTGTGACTTTTTTGTTAAAAGTGGTTTCCTTTTATAGAAATGAGAACTTCTTTGCGGGACAAGGGTAATATTTTATAAGATGGTGAGTTTTTTTGAAGAGAAGATGTAGTAAAGTATTACTCCCTCCGTTCCTATTATATCTTCCATTTCACTTTGTCACACAATTTAAGAAAAGTGGGTATTGTGTGGTGGAGAGTTGTGCAAAGGAGAGAAAAATGTGTAAGAAATGTTGTGACCACAAATTATTTATAAAAAAGGGAAGATAAAAGTTTAATTGGAACAAATGAAAATGAAAGTTGGAAGATATAATAGGAATGGAGAGAGTATCATATTTTGGAAGAGAGATTTTTTAAAAGAGATTTTTATTGCTACATGAGATTTCTCAACGTTTATGTGATACAAAATGAGCTAGGAACACTCCTATTTGTATTATGACACATCCTTATTTGATGGCTAGAATAATGTCAAGACAAATAAAATGTAGTGGCTCTAAAAGACTATATAAAGATCTCCTTAAAAATATCTACATTCTAAAAGAATTTTCTAGAATATCATTCTATAATATGGATCACCTATTATGGGCTACCTCTTATTTGAGTCTTTTTTACTTATTCAAAAATATCAATGGGCAAGCTAATCAAGTTTAATTATTCTATGCCCCAAACTTGATTAGTTATTCCAATAATGCTCCTTAACTTGATGAAGTCTTCTTGCTTTGACTTTGTGGAGATGTCCGCAACTTGATTTTGAAACCTCATATACGGTAGTTGCACCACTTTTCTCGAAAATGCATCCTCTAATATAGTGATAGCGTGTGTCAATATTATTGTTTCAGTCATGATAGACATGTTTTTTCACCAAAGCTATTGATGACTTGATATCCACGAGAATGTTGGTTGAATCTATTTGTGGAAGTCTTAACTCCTTTTTTTGGTTTCTTTACATCTCTTGTAGTGTTTTTTCGTCTTCTTACTCTCCTTGCATTGTACTTTTATTTTCAATTATCAATAAAAAAATTCCTTTCCATTAAATAATAATAATAATAATATTAAGTTCGCATGTACATAAGGACACAAACCGTTGCTTCTTTAACACCCATGTGAATGCAGTATTATCAATGAAGAACACAAATCCACTAGCAATTCTTTAGCATATCCTTCTTGAGAAATGAAGATGTCATACTCCTCTTGCTTCCCTTCATTGTCGAGGTAGTACACCATATATAAGCACAATGTCCATCATTTGTAACTCTTTTATCGTCTCCTTCTAAAACTCTCCAAACATGTTTGAATGTTCATAGGCTGACAATCGGTAAATAAGTAGAATAGAGTGAGATTTTCTTGATTTTAAATTACCTCATATAACTCTTGTAAGTTCCTAAATCGTGGAACTCTGTCACTTGAGCTTTCTTGTGAGCTTGCACTTGGCGAGGTTGGTGAAGCCGTAGGCTCTTCTCGTTCTCGCTCTCTCCTTGTTTGCTCTACCACATTATTTTCAAAGTACGGGAACAAGTTCTAATCCTTTTCTTTTTTCTCCCAGTCCCACTCTCCATCATCAAATATGACATCTCAACTAATAATTGTCCTCTCAATATTAGGTTTAAAGAGTTTGTAGCCTTTAGAGTTGAGTTATAGTTGATGAAAATATACTTCTCACTTTTGTCATCTAGTTTGCTCCTTTTCTCGTCAGATACATGCACATGAGCTATACTCCCAAAGACTTTTAGATGGGAAAAATTGTGTTACCTTCCACTCCATGCTTCTTGAGGTGTTTTACTCCAAACACTGTTTTATGGAGATCGATTTAATAGGTAGACTGCACATGTAACCGCTTCTTCCCCAAACTCATTAGGCATGTTCTTACTTATGATGAGCATCCTTCATGCCATATCAAGGATAGTCCTATTCTTCCTTTTCGTCACACCAATGTGTTGGAAAGATCTTGGTACTATTAGAGATCGCCGAATTCCATGAATGAACTTTTAAATTGCTTTCTAAGTAAACATCCTTTGTATCATTGGTCTTGGTGTTTAATGATAGATAGACCTCTCTCATCATCTCTTTTCTATAAAGCAAGTCTAATCCGTCAAAGTTTAATTGCCCATATCTTAAATGCCAAAGCCATGTAACATCTTTGTGACAAGCTTTAAGGCACTTAGCTATGTCATTTTGATTGTTTATAATGAACATGGTATTTGTTGATTATGGCACTTTTTATGAAATTTACTTTTATTGTCTTTTATAGAAAGACTATAATATTATAAATTGGTGCCTTCCCTTCTTTAGGCTGATTCAATTTTTACGTTTTCCTTTAAGCGGAACTTTAGAATCCTAGAAACAACACTGAGCTTGACCGTAAAAATGGATGTATTGGAAGCCTCTTTACTAGTTCAATACGTAATCACTCCACTTTTATTAGAAAGTCTTTATTTACTTGACACTTTCTATACATTAAAAAAGAAAATTTAAACGAAAAAGCCATTCCTTGTTTTTAAATATAAAATCAAGTGGTGTTATTATTATTATTATTACTCTTGTAATTAATTCATCAGGGTTTGCTCTCTTCCATGAGAGTCCTGGCAAAGGTCCTAATTTATCTTGGATTTGATTTTTTACAAAGATTGATTAGAAATTAAATGATGTGATTATCAAGAATGACAAGGTTTTTTTTCATAGCCACTTTTTGTATCACTCCTGACTGTGTTACTCATCCAAGTTATCAATTTGGCATCAATTGATGTGCTGGATGAAGTTAATATTAGGATGGGTTGTATGAAATAACATTCAATACTTTACCTTTTTTAATTAGTTACTTACTGTTGAATCAATTATGTCGTTGCTATCTATTGCATGTGCTTGAAGATCTTTCATTAGAATATAAATAGATAGGTTTAGCATTTTCTTAAAGAGGTATGAATACAATTTTATATATACAGAACTAACAGAAGATATGAATATATTATGAAGCATATATAGACTATCGCACTATGCCTAAAATTGAATCATCAAGGACTATAACTGTTTGTTTTTGCAGCCGCCACACCAAAGCAGATAATTGATATAATGCGAGTTGATGGGTTGACAAATGACGAGGTCAAAAGCCATCTTCAGGTACATAATTATTACTCTTTCTAATGACTACTCCCTCCGATTCTTATTAAAGTTCTCACTTTCCTTTTTGGGATGTCCATTATTTAAGTTCACACTTCCATTTTAGGAAACAAAACAGTGTAAAATAGTGTCAAACAGTGCCAAACAGTGTCCAAACAGTGTCAAACAGTGCACTCCACAGTAAAGTCAAATTCATTTTCTTAATATGTGTGAAGTCAAACTGGGAACTTAAATAAGAACCGGAGGGAGTATATGGCCAGGCCCCTTTCATGCTTCAAATTAAAGAATCTTTAGTTTGTTCAAATTAAAGAATCCCCCGCCCCAAGCGCCCCCACGCCCTGACCCAACAAAACATATGGAAGGTTGTAAATCACGGTGACTCAATAAATTCTAACGGTGATAGACTTTATACTCGTGCGCACCAGATGCCCAGTCCGACACACAAGAACTTTCCACCACTTTACCAATTGAGCTACCCGTACGAGTTAAAAAAACTTTAGTCGAATAGATACATTGTATTTATAAATAAATGATCATTTCATTTATAAATTAGCAATCACATTTTATTATAAATGATCATCTTATATACGGAGTATATGCTAAAACTAGCAATCACTTTTAGTTGGTAAAAACCCATTTTCTTATCTTGTGAGACATTACAATGAATTCCGAAATGATAATAGTGTGACTCAGAATTAGTACCTAATTTAGAGTAGATTACATTTTTCCTACAAAAAGGTAATCCAGAGGTGGTCACGTTTTTTCTATGAATAATCTAGCTTTTCCTTTTTATGGTTACATATTCAATAACAATTTGTATTAAAAGTATTATTTTTAATATAATCATTCTTCCAATTCTATAAGTGAGCGTTTGATAATAATAAAATAAAAACCTATGGTAAAATGATCAAACTAACGCCTCATACATTTAAAAATCATTTTATAGTTTGGAGAATCTAAATCAAGAGAGAATGACAGAGGGTGTAGAGTATTTTGCCTAGATGATTGTTTAATCAATAATATAATACTCCTCCGGTTCTGAAAGATCCTTACACTTTTCATTTTTGGCAGTACCACAATTATCAAACAGAGTCAAACAGTGTCAAACAGTATCAAACTCTTTAATATTTGTGAAGTCAAAGTGTAAAGATCTTTCAGAACCGGAGGGAGTCATAATTAGAATTAAAGTTGAAGGTGTGTGAGTTTGTTTTGGCAGAAATATAGACTCAATGTTAAAAAGCTACCCGCTTGGCGATCATCATCAAGCCCATCAAATCTGATAACGGCCCAATATCACTCTGTTGGAGGTCCACTTCACTTGAGCTCTTGTGCCAGGGATATCTCCCTCTCTCTTACCAGCATCCAAGAAGAAGAAGAGGTATCTCAGAGTAGCTGTGAAACCAGGACATTTATAGTTGCATAGGCTGATAGAGAAATTCTGACTCTTTTGAAGGGCTCCTACTTTTGGAAGTCTATGTTTCATGTAAATTGATCTTTCTATGGAGTATGGCCTTAATACCTCTGAGATGAGGTGGATCTGTGAAATACAAATTGATATGGGCCGAAGAATAATTATATTAGATTTAAACATTAGTGAAAATGTGTGATAGATCATGCATGAAAAAAGAAAAAAAATACACTAAAAATAATTAAATTGTGATACATTTTTTTTACTCCAGGAGGTCTGGGGGAGGGGGGCTTGGAGACCTGGAGTAATCAGGGCTGAAGCTCACACAATTGAGCTTCAAACTCTTATGTGCCTAGTGGATTTCGAACTCGAGACCTCTCACTAGACACAGATTTAAATTGCGATACATTTTAACCCATTATAGGCTTGACATAAATCCTCCATTGCACATCTCCTTGCAAGGAGCAATATGTGATCCAATCCAATATAATCTTTATGTGGAGATGAAGGGCGAGCTCTATCCTCTAGGGATGGGGCAACCTGGGTGACGGACTTAGAATTAAAAATGGAAATAAGAATGGGCTCAAATATATTTTTCTCTGGGTACACTATGAATACGCATTCTTTTTTTGTTGTTTAGGCCCAATAATTTTCTTTTTCTTTATTTGCTGATGTTGGAATAGTAGGAAAATAGCATAAAGTGAGCAAAAAATAAAAAACTAAATGTGAATTTCTAAATTTCGGAGAAAGAATCTGCCTCCATTGAGAAAAGAAAGTGATACTTGTACGAAATTAGTGCATTACAAAAGTAATTCCTACTTTACAAAAGAAAGAGTGAAAGAAATTCAATGGAATATTGCCCATAGGTTATGAGGGAGACCGGTTGAGGATCGATTCTGGATTCCGTCTAAGTATTCCGGCTCAGGCAGTCCGGAGCTCGGCTTTCCGGTTGTCTCTTGTGCACACCTAGGCTAAGGGAGCAACACACCTTTCTAGCCTCGTCAACACTCACTTCTACTCACTATCCAGTTCTCACACAAAGGAAACTCAAGGAGGAAAAAGACTGGTTTAGATGAAGTATCTCTCTACGCTCCACTCACTTACAACAACAGTGCAGGGGCTATCCTTATAGCATGAGAGTTTCTATTAGAAGGACACTCAAATAATACACTGCACACACAACTCATCACTAGGCAATAATGAATTCAGGCTTTTGAATTCTAACGGGAAAGGAAAATACTGATAAGCCAGATAGATAAATGGGTACAGTGTAGTGAGCTGCTATAAAGTGTGTTGACCATGATTAATATACAAAGAAAAACGTTTGGGCCAACAATATATTAACAAGACCAAACAATACAACCCTTAATATTTTATTGAACAATCTACTCAAGTAGGCTTTGTATTTTAATATATGTTTATTTGAATTGATTTTAGTCCCAAACCAAAATGGATCAAATTTTAATAGATCAAATCAGACTTTTAAAAATACACATAAACTAAGCATCTACCGGACTTAAATATACCAAATCGGAAAATTTCAGTCTAATTAAAAACATTCTTAAAACCACATACTTCAAACTAGTCGTACAAATTAAAACTATTCTAATCACTTAAAATTTAAAAGTAACAATAACAAAAAGGAAGAGAAGGGAATATAAACTTTAAACAGAATATGTGAAAGGGATTAAATAGATGTGAAATGTAAACAGAAATGTTTCACTATCTTCAAGACTAATCCATGCAGCTCCAGCATTGATGTCGCAAGTCCCCAAGCTTTATGATTTTCTTCAAATGCACAAACTTCCTTGAAGCTTATTTATCACATGCCTTAAGTTCTGCATTTAACAAAGAGAGATTGGAACTGGTATGTAAAAGCCCAATTTAGGCTCCAACATGTTAATTAATGACGATTTCTTCTCAGAACAGTGTACCTACTAGCAGCTTACCCAAATTAGCTTTTTTCTTGGAACATATTGAAGAAATATATTAAGACAAAAAAAGGAACGGTAACTAATTTGAGGCATAATATTCAATTACTATCAACTTTAATTCCTTCACACAATATTTCTTTATTTTACTAAATATGGGTCTGATACTAGTGTGTAACCTAGATTTTTACTAAAAGGGGCGAGATAATTAAGACACATCTAAACATTCATAAATAAATTCATCAAAACATAATAAATACGATTGATCTGGTGATAGATGCATTACCTTTATATGGAATGAAAGTCGCAAAATCCAAAATACAAGATAAGCTTTATGCACCAAAAAGACACACAATATACTACCTCCGTCTCAAAAAGATTGGCCAATTTCCTTTTTGGATGTCTCAACAAGATTTGTCATTTTCTAAGGAATCATTTTCATTTATCGTAGTGCCGCAAAGGCTCCCACCTACGGTGGGGTAAGAAGGGGTCGGATGTACGCAGTCTTACCCCTGCACTAAAACACAGAGAGACTGTTTCCGGATGACCCGTAGTGAAAATCTCGTCCAAAATTGCATGAACTGACTGTTGCTTCATAACAAGGAAGTGCAGACAATTTAGTGAGCCATTTTGCTTTATTCCATCATAATCTCAAACCAAAAAATAATGAATCTTTGGCTCCATTGCAAATGATGGAAAATATGTCATTTCCTAAGAAATATGTGGTTAAAATTAATTCTCTCTGCACAAATTTCAATGATACATTTCTTACTTTATTAATCCACGTGAAAATCAACTTTGGCCAACCTTTTCAGGACGGAGGGAGTATGTCATACACTCATACTTTTAGACATTTGATTGGGAGATTTACGATTTTAGTTCGGTAACTTTTGCCTGTTTGCATTATTAGTCTCGTCACTTTAGTAACTTGTACGTTTAGTCCTCTAACTAAAAAAGTTTTTGCGATTTAAGAAATTTCCCTAAAAAAGTACACTTTTTTGCAATAAATCTAGGGAAAATTCCCGAAATAGGAGTAAAAAAGTTTGAAAATTTCAAAATAGGACTGCCGTGTTTTTATTCCCAAAATAGGACTAATTACTGCCACGTTTAGAAAATATTATCATGTTTAAAGTCTGGTACTGCCAAAACATGGCATTAATTAGTCATATTTTGGGAATACAAACATGATAGTCCTATTTTGGAATATACAAACGTTTTTAGTCCTATTTTGGGCAATTTCTCATAAATCTAATGCTGAAAACATTTTGTCTGGAATGTTTTTGTCGAAAAGTGTCCTTTCCCGAAAAAATATTCTTAAATCGCAAAAATTTATTAGTGACGAGTGACCCTATCTCTTTAGCTACAACTTTGTCACGGCTGTATCCGTGATAAAAATCCATGACAAACGGGGTGTTTTTTGTGTGTGTATATACCTCCTACATGATTCTGAATCCAATCCTTAGTTTTGTGTATATAGTTCCATTTCCATAACACACAAAAACGACTTACCGCTTACTTTTGTATTCCATTTACTTTAATCTTATTTTAAAATCAACAATATTAGAAGTGATTTTCATTACTATATTCAAATACAAATATATATTTAAAATTACTAAAAAACGAATTATATTGTCTAGAATAATACGGAGTATAATGGAACAAATTTAAAAATTTCAACATAAATAATTATTTCTCTGATCATCTAACAATTCCTTTGAATGATATTTTGATAACTTTATTTCTTTCTCTAATACTTCCTCTATTCCACAAAAAAGTTGACTTGTGGATGAAATAAGAGTAAAAAATGCATATTTCGGATTACTACAGAGCATATATAAATAACTTTAAACAAACTTTTTTCCCAACTTTTATTTCTTTTAATGGAAACGAAAATTGTTTTTAGTACGCGTAAAAGGATACGTGGGTTTATCCAACGTACTACTATGAAGATAAAGCAGTATATAGGAGTAAATGTATAGCGACAAAGCCTCAGAAAGGCTAAAGTTTAAAAGCATATGTAGGTTATGATTACTGAAGGTGACATATCCTAGCAGTGAAAAGACAATAATTCTCTTTCAACCAACCTCCTGTACTCTCAAACAAAGAGAAAATTCTATCTTTTCCAACTGCAAATGAAAAGCAATCAATTTCACCGTTTCAACCTAAAGCCTACACACAACGCAGATGACAAACATAAAAATGCATGCACACATGGACGTAGCTCAATCGGTAGTGAGGGAGTGACACAAGGATTAGGTCCTGGGTTCGAATCCCATCAACTGCGATGAGAGGTTACTATGCTAAAATATGCATAGTGCCTCTGCAAGTATCGAGAATAGAGTCTCACTCTCTATCTTTCAGATTGAGATTATAGTCCAATTACATCCTCCCAACGTACCGTCCGGTCGGAGTCGGGAGCCCTCAGGGATGGATGTCATCCTTTTTTTACAAACATAAATGCAGGCAGGCAATAAGAACAAAAATATACCGAGTAATGAACATCTCAAATGGTAATAATAGATAGTATATGCCAACAAAGAAAACACAGCATTTCATCAAAATGGAGTTCACTTTTAGTCACTAGTAAAATTATTCAATGGAGAGAACCTACAGTCCGTTTTCTGATACCTAAATCCGTTGTATCGATGGATTCTATTCATTTGTGAAAAGATTATATACTAGTATAAAATATATTTTATTAATTAAATAAAGAAAAAATTATATCAAAAACAGCTAAAATTATCCTTTACAATAACTCTAGCCAATACAACTAAAAAAGTAGCTGCAACCTTACTAATTCTTATTATTACACAATTCAACGCCCGAAATCAAAAGTTTCGTTTTTGGTAAAAAAAAATGTTTAATAGACCTAATAAGCCGAAAAACATGATTTTTATTTAACTGTCTTGACCTCAAGACAATCTGAACGATACACAATTACACCTTCCATTGATTACATCAATATGGACTTTAAAAAACACTTAGCCTGGTGTGCAATTTATTTGTTTAAAACAAAAATGTACTCCATTCTTCAAAACTATCAATTCAATTAATCACCTGTTAAGAGAATCTAAAAGTAAAATTTAGATATAAAGATTGAAGTATTGAACTCATTGAATTTCTTTATAGCGTGCAATGCAGTTCAAAGCAGACTTAAATGCTTTATTAAATACGAAAACACAAGACAAATTCTAGACAGAGACATTACCTAGGCAGGAAACTGTAGAATGAATGAATCCCAGACGGCATGGCAGCTTACACAAGAAGTTAGCAGGAGGGATGACCAACGCTCCGACCCTCCTCCTCGCTTTGGGTCTCTGGATTCTGCTGCGGTTGACTGAGCTGCGGAGGTTCTTGTTGGAGTATTAGCTGTTGTGGCTGAAGCTGAACACTCTGGGTATGGTCATGAGGATGAGATTGGTCCTCCTGGAACGGATAACAAGCATTTAGGTATGATCCCAAAGCCAAGGACGGCGACAGAGCCGCCGTCGGAACAGTCGATTGATGATACCCGGTGGCTGTGACCGGCCCACCGGATTCGAATCCGCCATTATTAAGCCCCATTAGCTCTAGCGGCTGCGGTTGTTGATCGTAAGCCCGGAACATGTCGGCCGGTTCCCCAATCATTAACTGTTGATGTGGATGGGGATCTTGGATGATCATCTGCGGGTGCATGTTATACGGCAAAATCACTCCGGCGCCAGAAGAAGAGGGATTATGATTATTGTTGTGGTTATTATTCGGTACAAACCCGGGTTGTGGGAAAAGCGGAGCCAGAGCATTCGGGCCGATGTAAGTTGCCAATTCCCTCTTGGCACTGCTCAGATCTCGCTGGATCTGTTTGAGCCGGTGCTGGAGAACGGAGATGAGTCCGACGCAACCGTAAACCGGATCTCGCAGTCGATACTCCGCCTCGTACGCGAGCGAGTTAACGGCGTCTTCGCGCTGAGCGGCGTTGAGTTCGTTGAGAATTTTGGAGACGTTACTTGCACCGAAGACCTTGTGGATATCGGCGAACTTTTGTGGCTGGTCCGGCGGGAAATATGGCGCAAAAACACAATCTTGCGTGCATTTCCGCCGCTGCATCTTGCAAGCCGCGCAGGGAGAATTTGCTGACGACGACATTGCTTTGGAGAATAAAACAAAAAACAAAAGTAACCTTGTCAATATTTTACTTACGTCGTTAAACTTTTTTGATTTGAATTTATGAGCTGAGCATGAATAATACATCGATGAAGCAATGAATGAAGAAGATGAACAATTTCAATGATTAGGGTTGTGAGAATATCGAGTACAACTAAAACAAGAAAGAAAGAAAAACATTTCGTAAAAACGAGTTATATAGTACGGAGTGCTACGTATTAGTGTATATGTGAAATAATGGGAAGGTGGCTCCCCTAGAGCCTCACATGTATATTTATAAGTAATTGTCCTATAGGACTAAAATAGGAGAGAAATGCAAAAATAGGACTTGATATGTTTTCTTCCATTAATAGGATCAAGTTACTCCTATTATTAAACATACGAAAATTATCATCCCAAATTTGCCCTTGAACCCATTTACACATTCTCTCTCTCCTTCCCCACTCATCAATCGGCCGATTACTTCTCCAGACCCCAAAGAAATAGTAACCGCATCCCAGATCTGCCGCATCGCTTACTCCACCGCATGGTGCTTCCACTGCCTCTGCCTTCGTCGCCTCCGCCGCCTCCGCTTCGTCGCTTTCTCCATCAACCTCTGATTCGCTGCCTTCACCTCCGTTTCACTGCCTTCGCCTTCCACCTTCATCATGTTTAATTTTCTCCGAATTTTCAGGTTTTTTGCTTTCTTCTTCTTCTTCTTCTTCTCCTCCTCCTCATCCTCCTCCTCCTTCTCATTCTTCTTCATATTTCTATTCTTCTGTTTTTCTGCATTTTGACATGGATTTTGCCAATTTGCAGGCTTCTATTTTCGTATTTTTGACTTCTGATTTTCTTACTTTTTAAAAAAAAATTGATTTTCCGGATTTTTGGATGATGACATACGATTTTGCAGAGTTATTGGCAGAAATGTACATTGGTAATCGTATCATGGCAAAAAAAGTTTTATATAAATTGTTGTTTTTTGTTTTTTTTCAATCACTTCAGATTTGTAATTTCCAAGTATGTTAGAGTGTTATTCCATTAAAAATTGGAATTTTTCGAAAATTTTGTTATTCATTTCATGTTTTTGCCAAATTTATGTCAGTTTTGTGTAGCCCTTCCAAGATAAATCTGCCAAATCTCTGGCAGATCTGAAATCCTTGTAATGGCAGTTTTCAAATTAATCTTCAAGGTTAAATATGCCAACTCTATGGCAGATTTTTGTGCCAGAGTTGTGATGGCGGCAGTGCTCGGAAGTGGAGTGGTGGCCCTGACATTGGTGGTGGTCGGTGGACGGTGGACGGTGGTGATGGTGGCGGATGGTGACACCAGCGTGGGAGGCGAGACAGGCGGTGAGGGTGGAGGCATATAGCGCCGGCGAGACAAGCAGCAGACGACGGCGAGGGTGGTGGCGGGCGGCGCCACCACCAAGGGCGGCGGCGGGTGACGGCGGCGGGCGGCGCCAGCTAGGGCGGCGGCGGGTGGCAACATCGTCGAGGGTGGCTGATCTGCTATATGAAATTTTAGGGTTTCAACAAATTGTAATTTTACATTTTTAAATTTAAATTCAAATAAAAACTGAATGGGGGCATTTTTGTACAAACAACTGATTTAGGTCCTACGAAACATAGATTTGTTTTTCAGTCCTATTTGTGCACACTGAACTTCTTTTAGTCCTAAACAGGTAATTAACTCTATATTTATACTCCCTTCGTCCCATTTTACTTAGCTAAACTTAACTTTCCAAGTTAATGACGTCTAACTTTGACCGATTATATGTTTATATAGAAAAAGTATTAATAATATAAAAATGAAATGAAAATGTTCTTTGTTAAAATTACTATCATAAAAGTCTAAAATTATTAAATTTTGCATAAATATATTAGTTTAAATAATTGGTCAAAATTTACCACCTTTGATTGGAAAAGTCAAAGATGACTAAGTAAATTGGGACAGAGGGAGTAATAGAAAAGGAGTTACCAATAAGTCCTAATTAATATAAACTATGGGAAAATCGCACATATGTTCCCTCAGTTATCCACGGAATAAAAATCTCAGACCTGTATTTCTAAGATTGTAAATGTCACCCCTCAATTGTCTAAATTGTTGTAAATGTGGTCCTTTAAGTGGTGAAATGTACTCTCGCCCACATTGTATATTTCACCCTCAAAAGGACCACATTTACAGCATTTTGGATAATTGAAGGGTGACATTTACAATCTCAAAAATAAAGGTATGAGATTTTAATTTCGTGGATAACTAAGGGACCATATATGCGATTTTCCCTATAAACTATTACACCCCCTCAAACTGTGCGAGAGATACAACACGCAAGTTGTCTTTTAAAAAATGAAACTGCTGACTACATAAACTCTTAGTAAATATATCCGCGAGCTGGAGATGTATAGGGACATACTTGACGACAAGATCACCATGAGCTACCCTTTCACAAACAAAATGATAATCAATGTGAATATGTTTGGTGCGGGCATGCTGGACTGGGTTGGCAGTAAGATAGGAGGCAGAGGTGTTATCACAAAATAGCTGAACAAGAGCCCTGAACTGCGAAACCAAGCTCAAAAAGAACTGATCGGATGTGTAAGGTGCCCTGCACTGTATAGACTATAGCCCCGATATTCTGCCTCCGTAGAAGACTTAGAGACTGTAGGCTGCTTCTTGAGTTTCCAGGAGATAAGATTGGGGCCCAAGAAAATAGCAAAACCAGTAGTAGAACGAGAGCTATCTGGACAGCCTGCCCAATCAGCATAAGAGTAAGCCAAAATACATATGGGACGTGCAGAAGTCTGGAGCCATAAGCCATGATCAATAGTGCCCTGTAAATAACGAAATATGCACTTGACAGCAAGCATGTGAGTAGTACGAGGGGCATGCATAAACTGAGACACTAAATGAACTGCATAAGTAATATATGGTCTTGTCAAAGTTAACGGAGTACGAACTGGCATGTGAGGATTGAGGAAGAGAGTGGTACGAGTAGCTAACGGAGTACGAACTGGCTTGAGAGTGTGTAAGTAGAATCGAAGAAGGAGATCAGACACATGTTTTTGTTGAGGGAGAAAAACTCCTTTGGAGTTTTGAACAGCTTGGACACCCAAAAAATAATGGAGATCACCGAGATCCTTCATGGCAAAATGAGACGCGATGCGACTAAAAAAGGAAGACACAAGAGATGGAGAATTACCCGTAATAATAATGTCATCCACATATAACAACAAATATATAACAGATTGACCCTGATGATAAATAAACAAGGAATTATCAGACTTACTACACAGAAAATGATGAGTAAGAAGAAAACTACTGAAACGATGAAACCAAGCCCGCGGGGCCTGCTTAAGACCATTAATGGCTTTTCGCAGACGACACACATGATGAGGAAACCGAGGATGAATAAAGCCCCACGGTTGATGCATATAAACCTCTTCAGTGAGATGACCATGAAGGAATACAATTTTCACATCCAACTGACGCATAACCCACCCAAAAGAAATGACAAGAGTAAGCACAATACGAACCGTGGTGGGTTTAACAACCGGACTAAATGTTTCAGAAAAATCTATCCCAGCCTACTGATTAAAACCTTGAGCGACTAATCGTGCCTTATGACGCTCAATAGAACCATCAGAGTGAAATTTAGTTTTATAAATCCACGTAGACCCAACCACATTTTTAGAGTTATCAAATGGAACTAAATCCCAACTATTATTAGAAATAAGCGCATTAAATTCATCTGCCATAGCCTCACGCCAAATTAAATGTTTATGTGCCTCTGAAAAATATGTCGGATCTGCTGAGCTAACAACTGTGTTTAACGTAAAAATAGATTTAGGCTTGAAAATTCTGGGCTTAGCACGAGTTTGCATAGGATGAACATTCAATCGGGGAGCTGGTGGACTAGAGGAAGAAAATTGTGGACTGTTCGGCAAAGACCTGGTCGGGCTGGGTGAGGCATCCGGCGATTCCAGGTCAGATGGGGAAGTCAGTGCTGGTGGACTAAAAGAGGGTGGGGGAGCCAGTGCTAGTGGGACGGATGGGCTGAATGGGCAGTAGGTGGGGCGAGTTTTGGGGTCCGCTGAAGAGGAGGGAAATTCATGGACAGGTGGGGAAGACGGAGGGGTTTTGGTGAGTGGCATAGCAGGATGGGTGGATGGAAAGGAGGGAGGTGTCCTAAGAGTATTAGTGAGTAAAAAATCAGAATTACACAAAGAGGAAGATGACTGCAGTGAGGAAGAGTTTAAAATCGGGAAGGGAAAAATATTTTTAAAAAATCTAACATGACGACTAATATATACCCTACCAGACTTAGGCTCAAGACAACAATACCCTTTGTATCCAGATGCATAGTCAAGAAACACACAATGAATAAAGCAGGCAGACAATTTGTTGGAAGAAGATGCAGGAATATTTGGGAAACAAGAACATCCAAACACACACATAAAGGCATAATCAGGAACTTTGTGAAACAGTCTTTCATAAGGTGAAGTTTCACAGAGTAAGGGCGAAGGTAAACGATTAATAATATAAGCAGCCGTAAAAATGACATCTATCCAGAAGTGACTAGGAATAGAAGCTTCAAGAAGCATTGTCCTAGTAAGTTCTAACAAATGTCAATGTTTACGTTCAACGACCCCATTTTGCTGAGGCGTGTCAGGACAAGACTTGCGAAAATTATACCATTTATATCAAAAAATTGCTGTATATTAAAATTAACGAATTCACCCCCTCCATCACTTTAAAAATCTTTAATTTTTGTAGAAAAAAGTTTTTCAACTAGAGCTTAAAATTTTTGAAAATGATGAAATACTTCAGCCTTTGTGCGCATGGGATAGAGCCAAGTATAGCGAGAAAAATCATCAATAAAACATACATAATATTTAAAGCCCAAATTAGACAAAACAGGAGACTGCCAAACGTCAGAATGAATTAATTGTAAAGGCATAGTAGAATTATGACTAGCATCTGTAAAGAGTAAACATTGAGATTTGCCTAAATAACAAGAAATACAATCGTGAGAGAAACTGGAACTACTACAAATATGTTTTTGATTATGTAAACTACGTAAAATAGAAGTGCCACAATGGCCTAATCTACGATGCCAGACATGTCCAGAAGAAGTGACAGATGACAAAGCTAGTGGAGGCTGGGGGCTAAGGCGGACTGGATAAAGATGACCATGACTAGGTGCCTGAAGAAGCTCCTTCCCCGAAATTTTGTCCTTAACAAAAAAAGAATTTTCATCAAAAATCA